AAGATGAAAATAATAATGATAATAATGATAAAGGAATAAACGAGACGAAGGAAGAAGAAGAAGAAGAATCTTTTTTGGTTACGACAACCGAAGCAAACAATACAGATTTAGAAACGGAAGATGAAATTGAATCCGATTCAGATGAATCTTCATCAGAAATTAATAATCAAAGTTATTCAAATGATTCTGGTTTTGGTTCAACACAACATAAATCCAATCAGGGTATTTATGTGTATTTAACGTTTGTCCAACCCCCCCCCGCCCGTTTTTTTTATAACAAAACCTAACAAAACTAATAACTAATAATACTTTTGGTGGTAGTAAAACTAAATTACATATCATATTATTATTATTATTTTGGCACATTTACAAAGAAAAATTTACGTAAATTTACACACCTAACAAACATGAAAACATTTTTAAATATATTTACATCAACAACAAATGCACACGCACGCACACACACACACACACACATGTAAATTTTTTTTTTTTGTTCAAATCAATGCCTCACAATAATAAAACTATAAATAAAAATTTTTTTTTTGTACGATTGGAGGGCAAATCGAAGTAAAAAAAAAAAAAAAAATTATTTTATGATCAGGTAATTATAACGTAATATAATCAGGTGTATGATGGGTATATATAACGAAAGAAAACGATCAGGTGTATATAAACGATTATTTAAAAAAATAAAATTTTATATGCAAAGCCTATCAATAATGGAGATATATTTAGGGTCATAAGTTAAACATTATTTTTCTTTTTTTGCATTTGTTAATAATAATTAATTAGATTGCGACGTGAATTGTCATAAAAAATGTGAAAAATTAATGGCACATTTATGCGGTGTCAATCAAAAATTAATTGTCGAAGCTTTAACCTCATTACATCATCATCATCATCGAAAGGGTAAGTTAGTTTATTAATATACCTAAACAAAATTTACAATAAAAAAAAAAAAGCCGCCATTATTAAAAACTTATTTATTTTTTTATACTAACGACTAAAAATTTTAACTTTAATAATAATAATAATAACAACAACTAATTGAATGTAGTTTAAATTTTATTTAGTTCAATTTTTTTTTTTATACTAATCGATTCTTTTTTGCGACATTTTGAATTTTATATTTAATTAAAGGAGAATTTTAAGGTAAATTTTTAACTCATAAAATGAAATACAAACTATCATAAATAATAAAAAAAATTTTTTTTGTGGGGGGTGGTGGGATTTAGGTGATCGTAATAATCAAAATTCAGACTCATTGTTATCACAAAATTTTGGAAATAATTCATGTTTATTTTCCGTGAGGGAAGAAGATGGGAAAATTCCAAAATTTACAGCACCAGCAACGACCATTCCAAGGTTTAGAAAATATTTTGTACAAGATTTTAATTTTTTAAAACTTTTAGGAAAAGGTAGTTTTGGAAAGGTTAGTTTAAATAAAAAAAAAAATACGTAATTAATTTTGAATCGTATCCAAATAATTCTATAACCGTTTTTTTTTTTTAAGAAGGAAATCAACTTGCCAAATTTTTTTTTTTTTTTTTTTATTATTATTTAGTTTATAAATAAATAAATAAAAATTTTTTTTATTAAATTTCTTAATTGAAGGTGTTTATTTATTTACAAATAAAAAAAAAAAAATCACGATTCGCTATATTAATAATTATAACATTTATTAATTAATTTATTTAAATATTTAAGAAAAAAAAAAAAAAAATGATATCGAGTTTAGAATCGTGAAACGTAAAACAACCTCCGCAATTTCTGTCAGTTTTTTTTTTTTTTAATAAAAATTATTAATTTAATAAAAATATCAGGTGTTAAACGTTTTTTATTTATTTATTCCCCCACGCATTTGTTTTTCAGGTATTTTTAGCGGAATTAAAAGGAACGACATGTTATTACGCGATAAAATGTTTAAAAAAAGACGTTGTGCTCGAAGATGATGATGTTGAATGTACATTAATCGAAAGAAAAGTTTTAGCTTTGGGAACAAAACATCCATATTTGTGTCATTTATTTTGTACCTTTCAGACTGAGGTAATCAATCAATCAATCAATCAATAATCAATCAATTAAATTTCCTTTGTAAAATTTTTTTTTTTTTTTCTGTTTCAAGTCTCATTTATTTTTCGTTATGGAATATTTAAACGGTGGAGATTTAATGTTTCACATACAAAAAACTGGAAAATTTGAAGAACCAAGAGCAAGATTTTATGCGGCTGAAATTATTTCCGGTTTGAAATTTTTACATAAAAAAGGAATCGTTTACAGGTACGAGGTATTATTATTATTTTATAACCCACGAGTTTGTAACAATTTTTTTTTTTTTCTTTTGATTTTAAAACAGAGATTTAAAATTGGATAATATACTACTCGATTTTGACGGACATATTAGAATAGCGGATTTTGGAATGTGTAAACTTCAAATTTACTTGGATAGAACGGCGGATACGTTTTGTGGTACACCTGATTACATGGCACCTGAGGTACGATGATAAGAGAATGTGATAAAAATTTTGTTTTTCATATTTTCCATAAAATTTTTTTGGTTTTTAGATAATAAAAGGACTTAAATATAATCAATGCGTTGATTGGTGGTCATTTGGAGTTTTACTTTTTGAAATGTTATCAGGTCGCTCACCTTTTTCCGGTTGCGATGAAGATGAATTGTTTTGGTCTATTTGTAATGAAAATCCAAAATATCCAAGATTTTTATCAAACGAATCTCTAAGTATTTTAAATTCTGTAAGTTTTTTTTTACCTTAATTCTTCTTCTTATTCTTCTTCAACTCGTTAATTTGAATTTTTTCTTCCAGTTACTCCTTAAAGATCCAACGAAAAGACTTGGAATGCCTGATTCTCCAGCTGGTGATATATGCGAACATCCTTTTTTCAAATACATAAATTGGCAAAAATTAGAAAGGCGAGAATTGGTACCACCATTCAAACCTAAAATGGTAAAAATTTATTATAATTTATATTAGCTCAATTTTAAATTTACAAAATGGAGGATCGTGAATGTTTTTTTTTTTTTTTTTTTTTTAATTTTAGCTTCATCCTTTGGATGTGCAATATTTCGATAAAGCTTTTACAAAAGAACGACCAAAATTAACAGTCGTCGATCCTGATATTTTAATGTCGATGGATCAAACTCAATTTCACGGTTTTAGTTTTACTAATCCTAATGCAACATTGGATTAATTAAATTATTATTATTATTATTATTATTATTAGGTTTAATAACATTTAATAAAAAAATATTATTTTAAATAAATATTTTTATTTATTTTATACGTGAACTCGAAATAAAAAATTAATAAAATTAAAAAAATTGAAAAATACTTACTTATATGCTCAATAATAATAATAATTATTATTATCAGTATTATTTGTTAAATATTTATTTATTTATTTATTTTTTTTGGTTGTGAAAATTTTTTATTCATTATTCCGACGATACCTGTCTTATTAACCTGAAAAAAAAAAAAAAAGAAAAAATTATTCTAAATTCCACAAATTCTCATCGTCAAAGTATTTTTCCCATTCGAAATTGTTACCAATTATTATTATTATTATTATTTTTTTATTAATTAAATGAATCCTATTATTTTTTGAAAATAATAATAATAATAATAATAATAATAAATAATTTTTCTTTTTGTTTTTAGAAAAAATGGATTTTCCTTTGTGAAATGCCAAAGGTATCAATAAATAAAAAATAAATTTTAAAATAATGAATTTTTCACAATTCTTATTATTATTATTATTATTATTAAAATTTATTATTTTCCTGAATTTTAACAGTGATAATAATAATGAAAACCTTTACTCATTTAGAATGCTATAAAAAGATTGCAAAAACTACAAACCGAATTAGAATCCGTTATATCAATATGCGACGAAGCAAATACTTGTCTAAACGTTGAAGAATGTCACACGTTTGATTTTAATAATTTAAAAGAAAATTCAACGCCGATATTTACGACGAATAATGATATTAGTTCGTTAAGAGATCAAAAAATCGATGGGAAAAAAAAAATTGACAAAACTCTCGTGTCACCCGTGTCAAAGGTCACCGTGGTAAAACAAAATCCGACATCGCACAATTTAACGACATGTGCGACGAATACTTTTTACAACGTATGTAAACATTTTCTTTCCTTTTTTAAAATCCTTTTTCTTCTATTTTTTATATATTAAATAAATAATAATGATAATTTATTTAATTGATTTCTATTAAAAAAAAAAAATTCTAGACCGATAATGAATTCGAATCAATTAAAAATCAATCGGATTTTAAATGTATCGATGAATTTCTTGAAAAATTAAATTCCGGTCTAAATTTCGAACAAAATTCTTCTCCTCCTCCTTCTTGTTCTTCCTCTTCATCAACGTTCGTTAATAATAATAATAAAATTCACAAAAGAAAATCTGAAAAATTAAATGAAAATTATAAAAAAGAAAATTGTTTTCACGCCCCCCCGCGTAATATAAACGAGTTATCGGAATACAAAAACGTAAGGCGTCACGTTTTAAAAAAAAAAAAATCCCCAATTAAGGCACGAATAATAATAATGATAATGATAATTTCAGGTTTTACGTAAAATATCTGATGAAAATATTATGGGGAATAAAAAAAATACGGAAAAAAAATTAGAAGAATTATTGGTAGCAAAATATTTAGCCATTGATATAGCCAAACATTTACGTGATAAATACGAAGAAATTAAAAATAATAAAAATAAATTAGCCGATAGATTATACGAAGTCGAAGTAAGTTAAATAAATAAATAAATAAATAATAATAATAACAGTAATAATAATAATAATAAATATTTATTGTATATAATACTTTAAATATATATATATATATAAAATTTCAATGTAAATTTTTTTTTGTCGCGTCAAAATATTATTTTTTAATAATAATAATAATAATAATAAATTTATTTATTCTCTCTTACTAATAATTTTTTTTATATGCTTTTCTTTACGTAAAAAATAATAATGATAATGATAATAATGATAACAACAAATAAAAAAAAAAAAAAAAAATGTCGTTCATGGAATCCTTTCGTATTTTCTACGGTGTTTATCATCTATGCTAACGAGATAATAAGTTCCGGGGAAAAAATTTTCGTAGGACATGATGGGAACGTAAGGCACTGAATGATTTGATTTTTCTCTAGTAATTAAAGTTTTTTCAAAATCTTCCGGTCGTATTTTACACCTTTTATCCAATCTCGTTTTTATATCCCCGAGAGCTCTTATGAGACATTCAAATTTCGACCCCTGAAATCATTAATTTATTATTATTATTATTATTGTTACGACATTAATTTTTTTTTTTTTTTTTTTTTTTTATAAAACAAACAACGGGCTTACGTATTGATTTTCGGACGTGATTCTAATTGAAAAAAAACTAGATGCCAATCCGGATCCGTATGAAAATAATCCCAAACGAGTACCGAATAAATCTTTTGGATTTTTACTGAGTAAATAAGAGACCAAACCTCCGTACAAGGATGGCGTGTACATGTTACCGACTTCTTTGGCCAACCACAAAGATGGCTCCGTTTTAGTTTTAAAAAATTCCTCGCTGTGAGCTACAAATATTTTCTCTATGTCTTTATTATTGTAGCTTTCCTCCAACGGGACCGCAGGAACGTGTCCTAATTTCCCTTTTTCTTCTTCCGTTCCGTAGAGGTAATCGTTATAGTGAAGTCTTGCTACGGATTTCTGTACGAGTTTCGAATACGGACAGTGAAAGAGTATACCATCGAAATCTTGTACGCGATTAATCGTTTTCAACTCGTTCGACTTTGACGATTTCTCTTTGTACCTGTTATAACATTTGTCTAATGCTGAAAAATAACATTTTATCGAGAGAGGTCCGTCGACGACCGGGTATTCCGACGACATGTTGGGCTTGTAAAAGTCGTATGCGTGAGTCATGTAAGTCGAACGTACTCCGCGTTCGACAACGAGGGGAGCCCGAGGTCCGACGAGCATGGCTACGGCACCTGCTCCTCCCGTAGGTCGAGCTGCACCTTTCGCATAAACTGCAATGTCGGCACACACGACCAATGCGTACCTCTTATCCCAAGCCGAACTTTCGATCCAATTAATCGAATTGAAAAGTGCGGCTGTTCCACCGTAGCAAGCGTTCGTCGTGTCTATCCCTTCCATGTCCGTGTTATCCGGAAATAGTTGCATCAAAACGGTTTTAACGGATTTGCTTTTGTCAATTATCGTTTCCGTTCCGACTTCTAACCGTCCTATTTCTTCGGGTTTTATGTTATTTTTTTCTAATAGATTTTTCGTTACCGTCAAACAAAGAGAATGAACATCTTCTCGATCGTTGCAAAAAGTCATTTTATTTTGACCCAGGCCTATGGTGTATTTTCCCACGGAAACTCCATCGTATTTTTCCAATTCGTTTTGATCGACGTACCAGACGGGAACGTAGATTTCCATCGCCAGTATGCCGACATCTTTTGGCCACACAGCGTTATTCT